GTAATGTCAGGGTCAGAATGGTACTGAGAGCAAAAATGAGGTACACCATAAAGAGAGTATAATGTGTATATATGGGATACATTGCAAGAACACCAAACACGCAATAACCAAAAACAGAGCTATCAGTGCACATGGTACTGTACCTCTTTTGGATATAATAGTGGCAGAGATGAGTGTTGCAGAGTGTCAAAAAGTAGGAAAAAATATACCCTTCTGTTCTCATCACTGCAGAAAGCATTTACCAAGACCAAAGATCAAGTGCATCACTATGTGCTGTGGAGACTGCAGGGTATCATAAATAAATGTAAAACTATGAATTAAACACATCACAGTGAAGAGTATAACTGAGAAACTAAACACAGAAAAGTGCTCACAAAAGTCATTTAATAAAGATTTGCTTCTATATAAAGGGGTGTACTGTTACACAGGACAGCCCAGGAAAGGTGCAATTGAGAATGCGAAGATCCAGTAGACAGGTTTAAAAACTCTACAGTCTAGGTATAATTTTCAATGGCAAATTGAAAGCCTCCCTGAGGTTAAACATTCACATAAAGGAGTCAACTGGAAAGTCACAAAACATACTCTTTTTCTACTGAAGAAAAGACTTTGGTTTTTTGCAGGTTTCACATGCATGCAAGTCTCACAAAACAGATTTGAGACCACCTAATGTACATACTAAAAATTGAGTAAATAGTATTAAACAGATATAGGTAGCATTCTTCTTCTCTTTAAAGAAAATATTAGCTGCACATTTCCAAAACACAGACCTTCATAACAACTAATTCTGGTATCAAGCAGCAGTTTCATTCTGATGATTAAGAAGTTTCTAGATTTTTGTCTCCTACTTCCCACAGCAGGAAACTCAAGAGTGAAATCTTGCTGATTAGAATGCAAACAATAGTCTTTGAGACTTAATATAAGCAAACTTAAGACACTTCATAACTGTAATTGATCCCATAGTAGTTTCAGCCTTTAGCAGGGCAAGTTATTTTCTGCCCATGTACTCGCAACTACTCAGGTGGGCACAGAAGAGTCAGAAGATTCTGTGTCCAAGTTCAAAGCTGCAGTGTGGGACAGTTGCTCACTCCCGCCCATCCCTCTGTGTAACTGGCTGGCTTTCTGCTAGTAAACAGCAAGCATTGTACACTAGGCAAGGTCAGAGTGGACAGGGCTGGTGTCCCTGCCCATTGCAGAAGGGTTGGACCCAGATGGTCTTTAGTAACCCCTTCCAGTCCAAACCATTCTGTGATTGATAATTTCCATCCATTTCAAACCTCAGCCACCGAACAGCAGATCTTAATAAAGCATTTTTGCAAAACGTTGCCTAAAAAATGCAGAGCATCAGATTCACAGGAAAATCAACAATATTATTCTTCCATAGTTCCAAAAGATCTCATTTATGGCAAGTGAAGGCTACCCCATATTCAAGAACTCTGAATAAGCCATGCAGTGATTGAGATAAAGAAAGATCATTATTCATGCTTTCCAGATTATGTATTTGCCTTGACAGGTAAACTGTTCTGAAAAAGCCTTGTCATCATTGGCAGTGTTTTCCATTTTTTCACCTGTCACCGTAACAAATTTATTACCAACTTTTTTGTGCAGATTCATCAATCCTCTAAATTAGATTATGTGCATCACTAAATTCACTAGGCAAGAATAACTGACTACACCTTTGAGTTGCAAAGAAATAGAAAATGGAACCTGGAAACATCTAAATATAACCTCCAAAAAGCCCTCCTTATTTCTTATTTTCATCTGTAGGTCATTAATATGCATCCTGGCATGAGTGCCTTCAATTATTAAAAAGGCCTTATCTAAGGCAAAAATCCCAACTTTAGAGAAGATTTGTTAAAAATAATTCTCAGGGGATTTTTGCATTAAAAAAAAAAAAAAAAAAAAAAAGTAGATATTCCTTGATAACATTCTCAAAATAAATTGTACAATACAAAATGCTTCACTTTACCCCCTAAGGGAAAATGACAGCAACTAAGACTCTCATTAGCACTAGTTTCCAAACAACTAATAAAGGAACAATTCTTCAATTCATCTTACATCCAGTGAAATGGAAGCACTCATTATTTTCTGCAGCAAGTCCAACTCTTGCAACAGCATGATTATTTTGTTTATAAAAATCTGAGGTACAATGAAAGAATACAATAACATAAATGAAAAGCTAGGCTTCCCAAAAAACAGTAATTCAGGCTAGGCTATTCATGTCTCTCAGCATCTAGACACCAAAAAAAAAAAAAAAACCAAAAAAACTGCAGTGAGAAAACAGAACTCCAGAACAATGATAGTAATGAAAAGATTAGTTTGGGCTTGGATGGATTTCACAGACCACCTGGCCCACCTCTCCACTCAAATTTTTTGGACATTACATCTCACAGGCCATTGTCCACAGTCAAATTCTGAATCCCTCAAAGACTGGAGATTCCACCATCTCTCCAAGCAATCTATGGCAGCATTCGCTGGTTCCCACACCATTTGTCAGAGATTTTCTTTAAGAAACCTGTTCATCCTTTTGCTGTTCACCTCCAAGACGAGTCCATCCCCTTCCTGCTGCTGACTCTTGTCTAAATTAAAGACAGCAAAAGTACCACTTTTGTTTATAAGCTTAAGAGGAATTCTGTCAAACGTGCAATTACATTTTCCATTTCCCATGTTATCAGTCACAGTAATTTATACAGTCCAAAAGTTTACTGCATCCATACTTCTATTTGTAAATCTCAGCTCTTTGAAAAATCAAGGCAAACCTTCCCCTAAGCCTCTCTTTTCCTCAAGTCTCTCCCCTCCATCCCACGCCTTAAGCTCTTTCTGAAAGCAGTCCATGAAGAAATGCCCCAAGAAAGGGGAGTAACTAAAAATATTACAGAAGTGGCACAGCTCTATTATAGCTTTCCAGGTCGAATGTTAGAACAGACAATAAGAGTCAGAAATAGAGAAATTTTCAACTACTAGAAAATATTCTTATTTCCTCTACTTTCTCTACTAGAAATTGACCAATCACAGCCCTAAGGCTAGCAATCAGGCAAGTGCACACAAAAACAGTATTGCAGTTAACAACCAAGAATTAGTCAAACGCCTTAGATTGCAGCATATTTCTATCAAACTACATTTTGTAACCCAGCTTTATTGGCTTTGCTACATGCAAAACCATTGTTATGGGGAAGGAGAACACATCTTCATTTAAGAAAAATCTTAACAGCCTAATCAAAGAATTATAAATACAGATCTAATTATTGCAGGCGAACATTACTATACATAAAAAAACACCAGTTGCAATAGTAGTAATAATTAAGACTCTTGTACCTGCACTTCCTCCTAGTACTTCACTCCTGCTCCTGGTGTTAATTCTTCAACTCCCCTCTGGATCTTGAGGCTGATGATATCTGTGCCAGAGACATACAGCAAGCCACTGGCATCCCAGGTCCAAGTGTGATATTGACAGTTTCTTTCTCTTTACCGCATAATTGACTTGAAAACACTTACACATTTGATAATTCACTTGTAACATCTCTATCATTGTACCATCCCTTATCACTGGGAATGGTTCGTATCTGGGTTACTGCTGAGATAGCCAGAAATGCAGCCCCTTGCCCTTTCCCCTGAAACATTTACAACAAACTAGAACTGGGCATTCTTTTTACTACAAAAAATAATCTGCAGGAACCAAGTTAACCATGAATGTCTGGAATGCTGCTCTTCTGAAACTATTTGTTGCCAGTGTAGAGTACCTTAACCTTAGCTTGCCATAAACTGATATCTATATAGCCTTCTCAGCTGCACACCCATGAAACAGTAGTTCTAGATATATCAAAGAATATTGTTACTTAAATGCATTACAGCAAACTTTCAAGTCTGAAATTAAATTCTAGTTCTGAGTTGCACCATCTTGGACAATGCGGTCTCCTCCTCTCCGCATTAAAATTTTGCTGCATTCTTAAAGCTATTAGGAATTAAAGTCTAAACAACACCTGCACAGCTTACTTAGACTTTACATGTTTAAAGTAATAAGGTCAAAATGAATTTGAGAACAGAAATACATACTGCACACTTTTATCAGTTCAAGGTGACTGTATCGGTAAAGATTAAAAAATCATCACAACTAGTAATGACTTTTCAGCAGAAAAATAATCCTTAAGATGACTGCCCCACAAGTACTTTTTCCTCCTGTTTAAAAAATGTTGCTGCATTGTTAAGGTCTTCCCTCCTAGTCAGGCAGTCACTCCCATAGAGACTATGGAAGTGCAATTGCGGAACCTGCTCTTTGGACAGGTGGAGGACAAGTGATCCTTCGTTGATAACTTTACCTCCCTCCCAGAAACAAACTGGGAGAATTGATGAACCTCATAATTTCAGAAGAGACAGTTTAGACTGTAATCAAACAGCAAACTAGTGCCATCTGCACTTACGAATTTAAACAAGGGAGTTCTGAAACGGCTTTCTCTCCGACAGACCTGATGACTTCTTCCTAGAAAGGCTGACAGCACACTCTAGTAGGTATTTATGAGCATCTCTGCACTAGGAGCTAGAGAAGCTACTGACAAGCTAGAGAAATTATGCTGCTTTTAGATTCTAAATTAGATGCAAAACATCCCATGAATAGGTTGATCTTCTAAAACCACTGCAGAAGACTGAATGTGACACAGCAAGTCAGCCACTGGTCCAAATTCAGATCTAAGTACTCCTGATATTTTTAAAAAAGAATCATCCAGATGTAGTCTTTTAGTTAATATGAAATTAGTGAAGTATTGAAAGCTGGGTAGTGGTTTATGCCTTACATAGAGTGAAAAACCTAGCTCAAAATTTAGATGTCAGATTTTCAGTTCCCATGTAGGTTTCAAAATCTGCAGAAATTGAGAAAAATGTTTTCGCATAGCAATACACCATAATTCCAAAAATATTATAATACTGTCTCTGTGAAATACCCTCATTGCTACTTAACAGCAGTTATATAAACTCTTACTTTTATTACAAAACAGATTTCCACCACTACATACCAATCTCCAAAAGGCTTTTATTTATCATCTTAAAGTAGCAGATATTATAAAAATAAACTATTACTCAATATTCAGTTACTTTTATCATATACATTTCTTTTTGGAAACAGAAAACATACATGAAAAAAAAAAATTCCTACAGATGCCCCACAAAGCACAAAACTCTGCATTCGTTCTACCTCTGCAGTAAAAGAAAGCATCTCCAAAATAAGGGAATGCAGTCCTGGCAGGCTGAGGCTGTTCTTTCTCCGTGTAAACTGCAGTGCTCTACATGGGCCCGCATGGAATCTCATAAAGGCCTGAAGTGAGGAGGATGGCTGTCTGGAGGAGGTGGCGGTGGTGGTGGCGGTGGTGGTGGCAGAAATGAGTAGGATGAATTGTACGTGTTTGAGCCTGTCCACATATTCATATTTGAAGGCGGAGGGTGGAATTGATGCCAATCATTGGCATAACCAAAATCTGGAGGAGGAAAGGCATACTGCTGCATCATTGGATTTTCTCTTCTGTGAGGTGGTGGAAACACTGGTGGCTCCTGGCGTATCTTCCAGTCTGAAAAGAACGGTGGTGGTCTTACTTGTGGTCTGAAAAACCCTCGAGGGCCAGATGGAGGAGCAAGCAGATCCCTGGAGAACCCTCTGCCACGGTATCCCCTTGAGTAACTTGAAGCAGGCTGTTGCAGTGAGTGATGAAGTTCTTTATTCTCACCTAAAGAATAAACAAATATAAGAACCACCCCAAACAGAGCCATATTATTATTTTGGAAAGATCAGGTTTAGTCTTCACAAATCTTTGAAGCTGAAGTCAATGAAATTTGTAAAGCAATCTTATCAACAAATAATGCTGGCAACTAATACATGAAGAATAAAATAGTAACAGCAAATCTAGTTTAGTAACTAATGTTGATTGATAGGAGTAATATAAAAAGGATGATCCTGAGAGTTGCAAACTCAGTCTTTAAAAAAGAAATTTCATCTTCTTTCCCTCCAGACTTTTCATTTGTATAAATGGATCTCAGGAACACACAAATTTTAAGTATTTTGGAAGCTTTTAAAACAAGATTTTAGAACAACACATTTTAAAACTAAAGATAAATCAACACTGCATTACACTGAAGGGGTATCCAGCTTTCAGCCCCAATTTGGTATAACAGCATAGACACAAGACACAAGAAATTATTCAAGCTCACAATAATAAAATTAACTTACTCTATCAGAAAAAGGACAGTCTCTACCTCTAGCCAATTAGCTTTCAGCATTCATCTTTCTAAGACAAATTCTTCCTTGTACAACTCACTCTAAGCATATATTTAATGCTCATAACATACTGCCCCTTTATATTATATAAATATCATAGCAGATTTACTGGTATTAGGACTATAAAATGAAAAGCACTGAAATACTAAAAATGCTCCGAAGAGTTGTTAAGATATTCAAAAAGCTGCAGAACTTAAACCCTCAGAAGGATTTTATGGCTGGGAGCAACAAGGTATTCAGGAATATAACACTGCATAAAATCACTGAAATTTAAAAACCTGCGTGAACCTCATCCTTGGTACTAGACTACACAGCTTTTCAAAGGTTTTTAAGTCTGGAATGGTAGCTGGATACCAGAACTTCTACTCATTTTCATGGGGGATTAAGAGTTAAGATTCCATTTGTACAAGCAGGCCTCTTGGAAGCACTGAAGTACTTGAGTAAGTATTTTTGTTCTTTCATCAAATACTGTAATGAGACAATTTTAATACACTCATGTAAGTCTTAATCTGAGACCAACTTTGTGCCTCAATTTGTGACATATCATTGCTGTTGAATTCTACAGCCAAAACAAACTGCACACAATTTCCATCTGTGCCATATTATTTACAAAAAAACCAAAAAAACAGCAAATCTAAACCTATCTTCCTTGACAGAGTGCAGCAGTTCCTCTTGCTATGTTCCCAGTTATGGAACACAGTAACACCCAGTAACAGCCTCAGGAAGCCCTAGGCAAAGGCAGGTCTGCAATAAGCTGGTAGAACAAGGATGTGGTGAAAAACACACATATGCTGGATTAACAGAAAAAAATAACCATCAGTAATGAAGAGAAAGTGCAGCACAATTCAGATCCATCTCTTAAGGGGAAAAAAACCTGTCAAAATCATAGGGCAAAAGCCAGTCCAAGAAAGACTGTGGCTTTTATTTGATTGATACAACGAAGGATTGTACTGCACAAAAAGTATTAAAGGACAGCTACTGATCTCCCAGATCAAGAAAAAAGGGTTTCAGCAGGGCACAATGCATATTAGCTTTACAAAGGAAGAGCAGCAAACTCACAGGAGTCTGTCTGAGAAATTCAATGGGGGAAGCACCATGCTGCAGACAGCTGAAGCAATCTGGTAAGTAAGCAGCAGAAGAAGGTAAGGGATGACAGTCGTATTTAAGGGGAGAGGTATAAAAAGCATGCACCCAAAGCAGACCAGTGAGAACAGAAAAAGAAGAATGCAATATGAATTATTCAACTAAAATGGCAATCAAAAATCAAAGTTCTGTCAGTAGAGAGGCATGAGAGAAGAGAAAATTTCGTTATGGTAAACAGAGCACAGCTGCAAGCATGCACCTGGAACAGACACAACAGCAGCAGGAGAAAGGAGAGTAAAGAAGGCTATTCATACTACGAAAATCTATACACAGCTTTGTTCATCTAATGACTGCATTAGGTAAACACAACGGTTCTCAGCAGGCTACAAAATTAAGAGTAATTTAGAAGAGTATCTGTATGTCATGGGTGAGGAAGAGCTTCCTTTTAGACAGAGGAGTAAATTCTCCCTCTAAGACGCGTATCTACTCCCTTGATCGCAAAGAAGTGGATTTCCAAAAACTGCACATGGCCTTCCTCTGTCTTCTCCCAGCACTCAAAGGCTTTAGCTGAACCCCAACCAAATGGTGGCACCTGCTCAGAATCCTCACCAGCACTTTTCTAAGAGCCTCTGACTTTCCCCTGACAATTGCTCTGCTGCTATACCACTTCCCTTCCACAGGGCTTCCATTTCAACAGAAAAAAATTTTTCTTCTAAAATAATAAACACAGAATGTAGCCACAAACTCAAATGTAAGTATAAAAAGTAGAGAATTACTATTAATTGTAGAAAATCTCAATCACTAAGATAGTTATAAATAGGCATTCCTAACTTAGATTAACAGACAAAAGCATTCACATAGCATTCACTCACTTGACGCAAGTGTTTCTGATCTGACTTTCTTCCTTCCTTGACTTTGAGACTTCTTTTTCTTCTGTTTTGCCTCTCTTTCTACTTCATCATCACTGAAATCCAAAACCTGATAAAAAAAAAAAAAATCAGCTGGCTTCTCAGCACAAGAAACTAACACTCCAAAAATTTATAATAACACAATTGATGCATGACTCAGTTATCCTTTCTAATTTTCCTGAAAAGAGCAACATTCCAGTGCTGAACACAAATGTTTGATTGCCTAGATGTTACTAAGAAAAGAAAAGGAGCTGGCTGGTTACTGCCAAGAAAAAGCTTTCAAAGAGTAAATGCAGATAAAGTGAATGAAAAAATGGATTTTTAAAATAAATAAAAATTAACTTGGCAACTAATACATAATTCAGCATTACAACTACATTAAAAAATTTCTACTCTAAAATTGTCACTACACTGGAATATTCTGCACTATATTTAAAAACACTTTCTGTTGAATACCAATAGCAATGAAATTTTCAGCTTTGAGGAATGTTGTCATTTACAACAGATTCAATGTCCCTGCAATGTTTTCTTCTTGTTACACAAGGTTTTGTTACCTTTTGAATCCTAACTTACATGACTGAGGATAAAACAAAACAAACAGACATATCTTTAAAATACTATGGCAGACACAAGGCTTACAGGAATTTCAGCTGCTTTGTATATGTTTAAAGTAGAAATTGCAAGGAAAAGTGACTCAACTGTAGTGGTGTAAAACAACTCAATAAAACTACCAGCCTTGTGATTCTTACTGAATACTCACAAAATGTAGAGCTGATGTGGAGTTAAGGACCACTGACATTAAGTCATTGAAGAAATATTTATAGATTCTAGAGCAAATGATGTCAATGGTCACAAGGAGCTCCTAATTCTACATGACCCTGTATGACAGCCTTTTTTATGGAAGAAGCCTATCTCCTCTCCTGGAACTCTTGTTTTATAACAGCAAACTGTAGGGTAAGCTTACTACGAAGTCATTTAAAGAATGCAACAGAGATTTCAAGTTAACTTTGAAGAGCAGACAGCTTAAATGTCCAAGGAGTGAGTTTACAGAGTACTAGTAAGCCTTTAAAGACAATTGCTTGTGGTCAATTGAAGACAAAGCTGCAGTGAAAGAATGACAGGGACAAAAATTCCCTAGCAGAAGCAGAATTATTGGAGAAGGTAAAAGCACTGCTACCCAAAGTTAAACATTCACGTTGTCAAATATATTCTTGAAGGACTTGAGGAAACGAAGATACACAATTTTGCCAACTGCAAAAAGCAAGCAGATAGACAGGTAGTACTCTCTACACTCACTATGAGACCTCTCCAAGGTCCATGATCCTTTCTTTCAATGAAGAGGTACAAGACTTGCCTCCATAAAAAGATAAGCTTACTAATTACTTGCTCTGCACAGAATATTTTCCACATATGACTTGTGTAAAAACAATAAACAAAAAAAGCCCTCTATAGTTACTTCAGGTGGTGGTTCTTGGTCATTCTTCCAAGATGCATCTGAACCTTTTTCCCTGAAAGAAAAAAAACAACACAAAACACAAATTAGACAATCCAGATAAAGGAAGGCTAGCACCTTCTATATGGTACCAGGTCTCCCAGAACAGGAGCTTCCTCTTTTCAAAGAGTTATTTAGTTTTTAATATTGTTTATGAGCAAACATTAACATATAGGTCAACTCAGGGCTTCACTACTCTTGAAAAATCTTCCCACTTCAAGTGATGACTGAACACTTCAGTCAAATATCCTAACACTGAGTTTTAGTCAATATTCTCTAAACAAATCCTTTTGAACCTTAATTGCTTTAAACCTGAACTGAGGTAGCTCACTGCAACTTTCTGATGCTAACTGTTGACAACAATCACAAGCATTCTTATTCTTCTGGTTTCAGAACATGTATTCTCAGTTTAAAAAAACCTACTCATTCAGCGGGACACATGAACTCATTCAGCGGGACACAGGCTTTCAGTATAACTACAGCAAAGTAAATTCAGAACCAGAAGACCTACAGTGCTTGGCTTACAATCTTATTAAGACAATGTTAGCTAGGTAACTAGGTTTCACCTTTTATTTTTTGCAAACGTTAAAATAAATTGCAATTTAAAGACACAAAAACTCAATTGTCTTGCCTGACAAGCACCAAAATAAATTTGGGTTAGTCTAATTTATTTAACCCACAGCAAAGTCCTTCACTAAAGATCAAGTAATTTCTTTGATTAGCAAAGAATTTGTGAAACACATTTAAATTACACTGTCAGTAGTCTTGAAGTTTTTCTCCATGCTGCTCTCAAATTTTATGTGTTTTGGTCTGAAATGTCAAGGTACAATCCTTATCTACGCAGAAAAACTGTATAAAACACTGCAATACTGAAAATTTTTACTTGCAAAATGGAACCCCACAGCTAAAAACATCTATGTGTTCAGTGTAAAATGCCTTCAGTCACTGCTCCAATAACCAAGAGGTTTTATGTATCCATCAAGTCAGCAACAATCAAGTAGCAGTAACTACAAAAAACTACATAACCATCAGCATCAGCAGCCTTTACTTCAGAGGTGCTTATTCAGAGCCATGAGAGCACTGGCAAGTCATCTGGAGTTACTTTGTGCCTCAATCCCTAACTATAAAACTGAAGTTCAACCTCTACATGTCCTTCTGAGATTATGAGTAAAAAGGAAGGCAAGGAAGACATTTTCAAGTTCAATTAGAAGAAAACATTACAGGGAAGAACATAAGGACTCTATACAAGTTATTTCTCAGCTGTAGAAAACTCATTTTATTACTACGAACTGAACTGTTTCTTCCTTTCATCTTGTTATTTTGGAGCAACACATGCCTGCCAGAAATACTAGAGCTCACAAGAATTGCCAAGACCTACAGTCACTCAGCAATATGTAACATCACTGACGGCAAACTTTAAACCATTCAAGGTCAGGAAGCTTATCTCACTGTCCCAAAGCAGCCTTCCTCATTTCAGCAAACAAAAACTGCTTTTCATGCTCCAAGGTATTTAGTATCTTCTGCAAAGAACAATATAGTTTCTTTTGACTTGTGAAGTTACATACTGTAAGATCTTGAAGTCTAACAAAAGGTAATTCACAGGAATCATGAAAATACATGAGCTTTTTTAGAACTGGGTTTCAGACAATACAACACAAACCTATCTTTAGCAACAAATTATTTTGCATTCACGAAGTTTTACACTACACTTTCACTTATTTTTCTATAAAGTGTAAGGCTTATTCATAGCACTGCAACTTTGTACAATGCAAGCAGATTGCATTTCAGATTTCTGAAAAAGCTTCAAATTCAGTCTTTCTTTCAGATCTTAATATTGATTCCTTTCCTTTTCAAAGAACCATCACAGTTTTGAAACTTTAAGCCTGTAATACTTCACAATCTGGTCTGCACACAGCAAAACTAAGAAAAAGCAGAAAATAAAAATTATTGGTTATGAAATTTGCCATCTACTAAGGTGCAAACATCTTCTAGTGGATCACTGACAAAGCCTGACTTTTCACTATTCAGGTCACATTCCTATAGCATTGAAGTGTCTTCATACAGCATTACAGCACAATTCAGAAAACAGAAATTCTTCATCCATTTTTAATGAAACCTATTTAGTGAAAAGGCAGCTTCACTCAATAGCACCAAATGCTTCACACAAGCTTAAGAAACTGGACTGACAGAACTCAGAAATAAATTATTGTTTTAGTGTACTGTAACTTAAGTCACACTACTCATCCTAATCAAGGCAAGAAACACTGTCTGAAGCACTGTTCAGCTGTGCTGGTAAGCTATGGAAGTCTCAAGTATCTTACCCAGGTTTCAGGTTTTTACCACCTAAGACAATGAAGTACTACCAAATGAAAAATGGTTTCCCAAACTATTTCCAAAGCATGAAACAAAGTAAAACACAAGTCTCCCATCTCAGATGCTGAGTACAGCACACAGATATTGATGCAGCAAGCAGATGATTAAAGTCTGTGCACTTTACTGGGCTAAGCAACAAAGTTTAATAGCACAAATCAAAGACCAGCTGGCACCAAAATGCTGCAGAAAAACAAGCATCAGAGCAAGCAAGTGATCTATTTTGGTCCTCACTGAAGGAAAGAAAATATGCTTGTTGCTTGCACAGAAATAAGGAAGTTAAAAAAAAAAGATTCCTGCAGGTCTGACTAAAGAAAAGAACTATTCAGTATGAATACTGGCACAGCTGTAATGAAGGCAGGCAATTAACCAATCCCTGAGAACTAATCCTAATAAACAGACACTAAGTCACTTCTATGACAAAAGATATCTAACCTATAGTTATTTCAGATGATTGCTCATCAATAATTAGAACATTAATATCTAGCTGTCATTCATTATGTTTTATTTCTTAGTCTGTATCTTTGAGTACACTTTCCTCTAAATGGCATCAAGTCCTATTTATGCATGCTACTTTCCTCAGACTGGGATACACAAACAGTGCTGAGAAGTTTCTGAACCTCATACTACCTTGTCACTCAAATCCCTCCTCTCTTGCAAATTTAGAGGGTAATTTCTATCTAGAATTGTTATCCTCCAATTTTGAAATTTATTGATAATTACATTTCAATTCCAGCCTTATGAAATAAAAATACAACTTAATACAAACTTGTTCAGAAGCAAACAAGTTTATTATCAGTTCTGAAACTATAAAGGAATCTAAAGAACAACAAAATCTGGCAAGTGCATCTTGAAAAACTCTTTTCTTGTACTCAGGAATATGTGTGTCAGAGGGTACGGAGGAAGTATGAATGAAGTTTTCTAGTTGTGGTATTTTAATTAACAGCAGCATAAAAAGAAAGCAAGCTTAGTATATTAACTAGAATAAGCTAAACTTTAGTAATTACAGCACTTAAAAGACTTGCAGTTTACAGCTACTCTTTTTTGTACTCCAAGGCAAAATAGTACTGTCTTGTTATTACAAAATAGTTGAGAATATTTCAAGGAAACATACAGTGTTAAGCTTAGTATTAGAGTTTCTCACTGAAGACTCAACTTTAATGCAACATTTTTGCTATATAAGAAAACATTATAAACAGATTAGAAAATAAATCAGACTCACTGTTTTAGTTTTTCTGCAAATATATACTGGGTGAAGTCCTCTACTGATGGAGCAAAATACATGCTATCTTGCACATTAATACCTTTCTCTTTGATGTGCTCAGAGCTGTTAAATCTTATCACATAAAAAGGATGTGAAACAGGACCAAATATCTCAAATATCTGAAAGAAATAAAATTAAAATGCTTAAGTAAACTACAAATAAATTAGTAGCTAATTTCATTGTAGACAATGATATTTAAGAAGTCCAATATATTTTCAAAATGCAGCATTAAATAAAAGTTCCTTTCGCACTTTTTCATTACTGAATTTTGTTTGACAGTGTACTTCCCCAACTACTGTTTTTTATGATGTGGAACAGTAAGTTCTCATATCCTTAGCAATCCTTCCTTTTGTCAAATCTCTGGTTTTCTCTGTTATGTTTTCAAGTCTTGTAACGCTTGGAACAATCTCATAATTTTTTCCTCCAAGTTCATCTTAACAAGATGCTTTTACAACAGTTACTGCTTGTTCCCCAATTCCATGGAGAGCAGACAATCCTGCCATGTTTTACAGAACATCTGCAATTCAGGCTAAGTTTGCTCCACTCACATCTAGCATTTAGAGATATTTCAGTAGTAACCATTGTGGATGATGGCTTTTCTTCTACAGAAAATGGAAGATTCAGTACAACGACCCTCTCAGCAAACATTCTTCCCTGACCTTAAATCAGAACAGCACAGCATAGAAGAAAACATTCCCCATTTTTCATAAAACTTCACTCTAACCACTGCCCCTATCTGGCAGTAAAAGAGCACACATCCTGTTATTCCAAGACATCATACATCTGAAAACACTCTCTTCCTCTCCACAAGCCCTCTCAAACACTGTAAACTCACCAGATATCGTAATTCTGCAAGGATGCAATTAATTCCAGGTTAGGAATTCTTGAGATTAATAAAAACAGATGAATATAGCAAGAGTCAAAGGCACACAGAAAACCTATAAATCAAGGAAGCACTATCTTTCATTTAGTAGACTTCAACTCTACTTTCTGGAGCACTAAAGAATACTTACAATTTTATATTAAAATAACAAGTTTTTATTTTACACCCACCTTTCCTACTGCTTGCCGATCTTCTTTAAAAATTATGCTTTCCTCATTTACTGGAGGTAGGCCTATCAGTGATTCAATTATTACTAAAATGGAAATAAAAAAATAAATTAGAACTTTATGCTTCAACAGCATGTAGTTAATTGCAGTAAAACTTAAACCACACTACTACTTGTCTACTTCAGTTTGTAGAGCTGCAAAAAAATATTCTTGCACAAGTGTAAAAGTACTTATTATCACACACTCCTTCTCCAATGATACATGAGTGCTAATGTTTATATTGTTTACAGAACTATTGCTCTCTGAGGTAAAGAGAGAGAGTCGTAAGAATCACACAAGAACACAAAAGCTTTCTGGCAGTTCAGTCACAGTAGCAACTGATAGTGTTTATACATGCATGTACCCAATCTGTTAGACATTCTGCAATGTAATGCCACAGAAGTCTCATAGTACATTTGGGCCTAACGATGATTGAAATTCTCTACCTGTAAAACAACAGAATGCTCAATTAAGCTTTCTGAATGACTGTCCATCAGCAAATAAAGTCACTCAAGTATATAGTGTCACTCAGACTCCAGAAAAAGCTCAAGATCATCACGCTAAACTCACATAAAAGGACTTTCAGCAATCAACATGTCACCAAACTAAAAGTTACTGCTACTACCACAACCTGCAAAAAACTTAACGTGCCAAACAAGGAAATGAAAATTCCACAGGCTTAACAGTTCACTGAATTTCAAGAGAATTTGTGAAATCAATTTCTTTTGTGCCTACCTTTAAGATAAAACATACAATGAAAGTACCCAATGTGTTGTTCAAACGTCATGAGAAATACACCTTACCAAAAAAAAAAAAAAGACAAAAACCTCTAAACAAAAAAAACCCTACACAAAAACAACCAAACACCTCTCAGATTATGTTCTCAACTTGATTCACCATGCGTAGCTCCCAGCCTGCAGTAGGCTGAGGAAAATATATTCTGAAAATGTACAACGCACCAGTCCCATGAAACTTAGGAGAAACATTACCACTTCCAGCCTATCTGACTTACAGCTTCCCCTACCCCAAGCCATCCTAAATTATCAGCTTCTACTCTTGCACGGCCCAAAGAACAGCCCCAGGGAAAGTTTCTCATATACACCAAAGCTGTTTGTTTTCCAGGTCCCAACCCACACAGTGAATTTTTCTCTTCTATTTAAGTACCTTGAAGCAAAACACAGCACAAGTTTTGTTAAATTCTGATACACTGAGCAGAAGTTCACAGAAAGTACTGTCATTTTCCTTTTAGCTACCGCACAGCAAGCATGAACCTACACTGTTCTAGCCTCAAATTTACCTCACAGGATGAAATATCCACTTACTCACTGCACACTGATGAACTTGGAAGCTTGCTACAGAGAACAGCAGAGATTCTAAGGGACATCAAAGGGACAGAAAAAGAATACTGATTGTTTTGTCAGAATAATATTGGTAATATTTGGCTTCCAAATGAGAAATCAACTCCCCTCAGATTAGATACAAACCTGGTATACAGAGGTATCAATTTAGTTCAAAAATCAAAACAAAAATCCCCAATTAGCTGGCATCCCTAATATAGCCACAAATCAACTGAAATTGATGCCTGTTTTCAGAAGAACTGAAAAGTAACTAAAATGTGGAAAAAGAAAAGTCATAAAGCAAGGTAGTAAAATCAAGAAAATAATCACAGATGTCCTGGGGTTTATGCCATTCATATAGTTTTTCTTCATTATGATTATTAGCTTGTTTTCTAACTTTCACCAACAAATCTAATATACATGTACATAACAAAGTAGGATGCAGCTTGAAGAATTCACCTACCAGTAAACTGGTATTTGGAAACATTATACTCACCACTGAGGATTAGAATTAAGGATGCTTTTCAAAACTGCAATCTTTAAAATAGTTTTGTTTATACCTTTATATTTTAAACCAAAACTAAGAATAACAGCAAATATGATTCAACTTGTTTTTAAAACTTGTTTTCAAACTACCATTTCAGCTGAAGGCAGCCTTCTTGAAATTCCCATTATTATCAATAAGCAAGAAAGGGCAAAGTGGAAAAGAACCAGATTACTACCTTCCACACCCTCCTCCCAGCTTCCTGCAAATGAATGAAACTAAATCTCACTACAATAAAATAATGTAGAGGAATTGCCTGTATTACCTGAAGCCTTTTAAAAGAAAAATTAATAGCAGAAGTTACATACTTTCTTTTGTACTAAATTCAGCCTAAATACTTTAAAATCAAATTTGAATTTAATTTCTAATTTTCATAAGCAAACTGCTTGGAATGCAGTTCAAGCAGAAGGAACACTTGAAACAGCTTAAATACAAACATATTGTGGATGTTTTAGTAATATGAGCTTCAGCAAAACTTTGATTTCATTTATGAAACACTGAGGTCCCACACAGATCCAAAAAGATCCCTAAATCTCTATGCCTGCAGTTAAGCTTACATCCATTCTGTATCTCAATCCCATTAAGCTCACCCACCTATAAATCATGTTAGTCACACCATCCTCTGACTGCTGACAACAGGCAGCTTTCATTTGCTCAATGTGCCAGAAGTGGAATGAATAAAGATATGAATAAAGATATAAATAAACAAACAAATAAATAAATAAATGAACTTGCACTGCTGAGACACAAGTCTATTTCCTGTCCTCATCTATTAACAAGCGAGCACTTGGGACTGCACTGTACTGCATCCGTGCTTTCAGCTTCTATATATTCAGGGATTATTCAAAAGTAGCACCTACGACTGGAAGATTTTCTTAAAACACTTAAATACACTAACTGTGGGCAGTGTCAATATAAAAACCGTAATACACAGTAGAAAAAAAGGGTTCTGAATTAAAAAATTAAACATGGAAGTCACATAGAAACACATACATGTAAGCCAAATAAAAGGTAACTCAACACAAAGGTAATCTTTTAGTTCAAATTCCAATTCAGCAACCTGCTACCCCCAGAAATGGGACACCGCAGGACTGACACTTAGAAGGAACAGCTAGGAACACAATTCATGCAGAGATATAAAGAAATTGTAACAATTCAAAGCAAAGCAAACATATCTTGCCTACCTAGCTGCTCAACGACACTGGAAACTGTCCCAAAGAGCTTCAGTTCAACATTATCTGGAAGAATTATTGATAAGTCTTCAACAGGAGGCAATTTCTGCAAACATCAAGTCAATGTTTAGAATATTATATCACACAAAGGCACTTACCACTTTCTCACTGCAGAAATTTGACAGTTTGGAAAAATCCCCTGGCATTTTGAAGACTTATTTTTAAAAAATCTAGTTTGATTTGCCTCTTTCAGAATCATCCTACATGAACTCATCTTGGGGGACCACCACTTTTGAGGCAATCTCTCCTACAGAGACACTACTCTACATATTTCCTTCACAACCATGGCAGAAGCCAGTTTTATTTAAAAGAAGAAAGCAGACAACTGACAGGCATTTCATCCAAGCTTGATATACAACACAATAATTACACAATCAGAAATCAAAAAATAGGACCACTTGCAACAACATTCAATGCATCCTACAAGAAAAATGTACACTCCAAGAGGCAATATAGCATAAACTACACCAGATGCGTACCATCTGATTTAACAAAATGGAGTCTGTCCATTCATATCATGACTTGGATCATTATAGAAGATGTAAACATCACAACAACCTATACAAAGAGAATTATTTTTAGCTGAAAGTTGCATTTGGTAGTAGACATCAGAGAGAACACAAAAAGCCAAACTTCAGATACAAAAACGAGTACTACACAATATGCAAATTAGGCTTTTGCCCATATAAGGACCAAAATCTACTATCAAAGACTGTTTAACACCAAGTTCATAATCTACCTCCAATTTACCCACAAACTAAGATTTCTATGTATATACTATGCTGCTACAAATTCAGTAAAGACTTTATAAAACACAAGGCAACTAGAAAAAGCATTATCTTCAAATTCAACACCCTGATCTTAGCACTGAACTGCACTTTTAAAGACCACAACTCAAAATAAAATCCCACACAACGAGAAGAATCTTACCTCGGTTTATCAACACCTCACCTGATAATCTTCACTCTTAACAAAAGTGTTTGGCAAAGGCTTAGAGAGCAATGTAAAGAACAAAAAGGCTGAGACCTTCCCCAATACTGTACCACTAAACACAACCATAAATTCAGATAAAAACACCATCTACACCATCCATCTTCTATTGGCCAGTGATTTTTCCAATATTAAATCAAATTCACTGCTAAGACTTAACTGAGTCACTTCTGTAAGAGAATTCAAAGGCCAAAGACAAGCAGGAAGGCAACATTCCGATCCTGTATTTCAAAATGGTACTTTCTGCCACACTATATACAGTATCTGCCAATCCTTGTTTCAAAGCAAGAGATTTTTGAAACAGTTCCACTAACACTCCTTAATACATATACCTGAAAAACATGACTTTCTATGTTATTAACTGTGGCGGGTTTCACTGCACAAAAGTCAATTTTCTTCAGTGGCTGTTACGGGGTTGCATTTTGGATCTGTGCTGGAAACACTGCTGACAATACAGAGATGTTTTTATTATTGCTGAGCAGGGCTTAGACAGAGCCAAGGCCTTTTCTGCCTTTCATGCCACCCCACCAGTGAGGAGGTGCAAAAGAAGGCGGGAGGGGCACAGCCAGCACAGGTGACCTGCACAGACCAAAGGAACATTCCACACCATGTAACACCATACCCAGCATACAATGCTGGGTGAAAAAGGAGAACAAGGGACATTTCCAGGGATGATGTTTGTATGTCCAAGCAACAGTTACACACGGAGCCCAGCTTTGCCAGGGATGGTAGAACACCTGCCTGTCCTGGAAAGCGGTAAATTAATTTTTGGGTTTGCTTTGCTAGTGTGGGTGGCTTTTGCTTTACCTACTAAACTCTGTCTAGCTCAGCCTTGGAGTTTCTCTTTTATATTCTGATTCCATCCCCATCTTGACACAGGAGGACTGACTTAAAATATAAATTTTTAGCTGGGTTAGTAGGAAAGGGTTTAAAAAATACTGCACTGTACTTACATCAATAGGCAACTCATCCTTTGTCCTAAGACAGTAAGATCTGTTATCCTTCTCAGTTGGATGCCCATCTTCATCAGATACTGCTGAAGATGAAGATGAAGAGAAGAGTGTAGATGAGGAACTATCTGAATCTGTATCACTGAATAAAAAAGCAAACATGGGAGTTACAATACTGCCTTCTCACAGTTGCCGTTCTTGTAAAATCCCAACATTAGCATAACACTGAGTGAAAGTTAAGAAAATACTTATTCCAAGCAATGCATCTTGCACCAGGAAGGGGGGAAAAAATCAAATTTTTGTAAATAAATCGATTCGTTTTGTAATTCATGTCCTGTCCAAATCCCCTGGTAAATATTCACAGAGTAATTCAGTATTTCTCACTGTCACATGCGTAAGAGATGTTTATTGTCCTAGACTCTTAATATTTAAAGTAAAGAGTGGAGTAAGAAACCAGTCCTTATTCATGTTAACATGTTCGTTTTAGCAAAGGTCCAAGTTCTTCAAGGGCTAGTGGAAGAAAAAAATGTGGAGCAATTCGTCCTAGTAACTGAAGAAACACAATACAAACCTTACACAAAAAGTACACTGACATAAGCCAACTTTTGCAAAATAACCTTTCTTACCTGAAGGAAAAAAACCCCACTCCATTCTAGATTCCTGTAATACCAGTCTCATTCCCAAATAAATGGATGGCTTTCTGTTGCTCCTTTATTCCAACAAATGCCAATAGTAATGACAAGAAATAAGAGCACCTCTCCAAATAAACCTTTTGGAAAAGTCCAATACAGACTTCTTGGAACAACATCAATATAGCAGAAAGACAAAAAAAAACCAGACTAAAAGACTGATCAGTGGAGGGAGTTAGAGAAAAAACAAAACAAAGACTGAGATACATGGAAGACAGATAAGTTATGAAAATTTCATCTTTAGGGTTCATCAGCACAACAGATTTTGGAGGTAAAAAACACTAGACACAGGTGAAGCCCCTGGAATTTCACTCTCCCTCACTTCATGATATTCGAGGAAAACTTTGAACCAACAAAAGTACGTCTGAAGTCAAACTCGAATCAATTAACTGTTAATAAAGCTTTGTATCTTTAAGAGGAGATTCTTAGACTTCATTTTAGCCTTCTCTAGTCAAAAGAAGCACATGGCCATTCTGCTGCACCGACCAAATAAGAAAACACAAAACTTACTGCAACAACGAAAGTGTGCAGACTTCTAACACTGCAACAGAGCCCACATTTAACCAGTTAGCTTTCACCAACCACACTGAACATCAAAGCACAGACGCAGCAAGTAGAAGATGGAACCATGAAAAAAGGGGAGAAAAAAAAAAAAAGTTGATAATGACATCAGAGCACGTGGTATGGTGGGCAGACTCCCCACCTTGTAGGACTCTACATTCAGGATTTTCAGCAGCAACACCGCCGGTGTCCTGCCCCAAGAGCCGCAGGTGCAGGAGCACCTCAAGCCGGTGGGGCGGCCCACGCTCTCCAGGCCACAACCACCCAACTCATGCTTTCGTTAAATCCTACACCTTTACAGAACTGTTTTGGAGACCTAATTTAACAGACTCCTAGCAAACTGTAACTGAAAATTACACCTTGGATGGGAAGGAGCAAGCTCCAGAGGGTGAAACACCGGGCGCGGGGAGGCGGCGGGCAGGCACACGGGGCTCTCGGGCGCTCAGCCACAGCGCCAGCGGCCCGCGCCGCCGCCCGAGGCCTCGGCGAGCAAGGGACGACCCGAGGGGAGCGCCGGGGCTGAACCCACCTGTCCGAGTCCGACGAGGACACGTCGGCAGCGGGAGAGCGGGGCCAGGCGGGCGGCGGCGAGCGCCGCGGTCCCACGGCTGAGGGCAGAGGGGCCTGGGCTTCCCCACCGCCCTCCGCAGGGCTCTGCACCATCTCCGGACCGGCCGCCCGCTGCCCGCCCGGCCCCACGGCCAGGCTCTCCATCTGCTCCACCACTTCCTGCTGCCCACTCGGCTCCACGGCCAGGCTCTCCAGCTGCTCGCCCGACCCCACGGCCAGGTTCTCCAGCTGCTCCACCACCTCTCGCTGCCCGCCCGACCCCACGGCCAGGCTCTCCCGCTGCTCCACGACTTCCCGCTGCCCGCCCGGTCCCACGGCCGGGTCCTCCAGCTGCTCAACCGCCTCTCGCTGCCCACCCGGCCCGAAAGCCGGGCTCTCCAGCTCCCCGCCCGGCCCCACGGCCGAGCTCTCCAGCTGCTCCACTACATCTCGCTGTCTGCCCGGCTCCACAGTCAGGTCCTCCATCTTCTCCACCACTTCCCGGTGCCCTCCCAGTCCCACGGCCGGGCTCTCCAGTTGTCCCTCCATTCCCGCGCCACGCGGCCCGCAGCACCGCCCACGGCGCGCGCCACTTCCGGCCGCCACGAGCCGCCCCCGGGCGCGTGCGCCGAAGCGAGGGGTGGGCCGGGAGAGGGGCGGGAGCGGCCATGGGGCATGAGGGCGCGGCCATGGGGGATGAGGGCAAGACACAGCGCCGGGACAGCTTGGGGTGGGGTGAAACCTGCACCCGGGTTTGGTGTCTGTGGGCCCTGCTTAAAACACAAAGCTAAAGCTTATGGCTGCTCTAGCTGAGGACCTGTTGGGAGGGAGTAGTTTTTCTATTTTATAAATGTGCTGACAACACACACTCATGTAATTAAAACTAAAAATAATAATAAAAAAATTAAAGAAAAGCTGTATAATATCAAATTGCTGTACTAATAGTAATTTGTATCACTCTGACATAGTGACTCCATAATGATAGTGACTGTATAAAAATGCCAAGCTCTCCAAAATATAAATGTTCGCCGTAAATACTTAGGTTGTGGAGCTTGAGGTTGTTAGTGGTGTCTGTCTCACACAACTCGGTGGGGATGGGGAAGGACCCTTGGCATGCCAGCATGTGGCACACGCGGTGTCCCTGACCCATGGGAGAGAACAGACTCAGTCCCCCCTGACCACTCTGCGTGCTTGGTGTCACACAGATAAAGCTTTTCCTCACAAGGGTAACATAGCAGAAAAAGCGCCGTGCTTTCTCTTTAAAACAGTGTATGCATTGGAAATGGCAGATGTTCTAAAGACACACAGCATCAGGAGGTCGCTGTTAGCATGACAAGTCCCTTTAACCCAGCCTCCAAATTGTAATTTTACAACTGTGCTCCTGGGCCAGTGCTGTGTGTCCCTGAGCACATCACACTGTCCCTTGGACAGGGTTCCAAATGGTCTTCATTACCGGGCAACAGAGTACAGCATAGGCCTGAGGAGGTTAAGTAGATAAAAACAGATAAATACTTGAAAAAGTTGCATGTGATAATGCTGGAATTGCCAGAGAGGACTGGGACTTGAATATCTGATGAGAGCAGAGAATAGTATGTTTTCCAGCTCTGAGAGAACTGTGTGCCCCACAGCTCAAATGGCACCCAAAACATTTTATTCTTGTCCAGCATGGCAAGGCTACATTGAGCCCACTGTCACAAGAGTGCTTCACTAGTACCTCACACAGGCTGAAGGGAGCATCTGATGGCAGAAGATTAATTCTCTGGTTGTTCCACTCTCCATTACGACACAGCAGATGCAACCAGTACAATTTTATTTATTAGGAAAGCCATACAGGTCCAAATTTGTATATCATTTAATTAATCTTTTTTCAGTTTAATTAAATTGGAGAACCAATTTAATTCAGTACTTTTTTCAGTTGTCTACAATTACATATAGGTCAAGCAGAACAGGTATGTTATGGACATTTGACAGTTTTGCACTGTCATAAGCCAGGAGCCTGTATGGGCTGTGTAAACAGCAGCAGTGAACTCTCACTGCACAATTACTCAGAACACCTAGGGCAGGAATCATCTCCACCTTCAGTGACAGCACTGGGATCCTGAGAAGAGGATGCGTGGGAAGCATGTTCTGAATATTACTGACCTGTACTGCGAGCTCTGTAACAAAAGAGATCTTTAGAAAATCATGCAATTAAATGTCAACAACAATTAGTTGTCAATTGCTTGGAGATTAAATATTGAACAATTATAAAAATGGTTTATATTGAATCTCATTTTAATCCCTGAGAAAGTGACAGAAATGAAATATGTATCCAATTAAACAATGTACAGACGCAGAATCCGGCTAAAATCCAATTCTGCAAAACCAGGTTTCATTTTAAAACTAAGCAAGGACAGTTTGTTATTAGTTTTGGATTTTTTTTTAATTTATTCATTTCTTTTGTCAGATGTATCTGAAATAGACTATAATACAAGATCTGTGATTTCATGTGAAAAAGTTGATCCGTGTGACTGAGAAGGGAATCATTTCCCCAAAGCAGATAAAGCCCTTGCATCAGCCAAAACCTTTCTAATAAAAGGTAAACTAATTAATGCCATAATGTAGGATGGAATTAGTTGAATGAAAATTAATTTTATTTGCTAAACACACATCGCTTATAAGTGTAAAAAGATATTCAGGTCTCTATGTTGCATTTATATAGGTAAAATTCTTCAGCTGTCTTATGAACTATATCTTTCCTGCTTTTTAAGGTATTTTAGTAAGTGTTTTATAGCTTTACTCTGGCACATAGATTGTGTTATGACAGTTTTCTCTGTGTTTGTGCAGAACTGGCAGCATCTTTCAAACAAAGAAGATACTTTATTTCATCTGAATGCTGCCGCTTAGCCCTTAACATATAAAACAGCGTTGCTCTTAGGATGAGAATATTGGAAGGCTTGATGCAGAGTAAACATCGTCATCCACTCAGCGAAGGCATGCAGTAAATAATCTGGAGTGTAACAGCATGAGCAAAGAGATGTTCTAGGAAAAGAAACATTTCAGAGATGAGTACTTGAATCACAGTAGTTCCAACGCATGTTTTCAAGGTCTGAGCAGTTAAGAAATGTCACTGCTGGGACTGGAATCTGACGTCATCTGTCAAGGCTGGGATAAAAGGTACTGCAAGCCCTGTTTTCTGCCTCCAATCCTTCATGAAGCTCTCTGGAGGTGTTGTTTCCTACATTTATTTCTTCATCCTTGCTGCTAAGACAGGTGTACGTAATTGTTCCCATTGCACTTTCAAAGCTAAAGTGATGGCACTCAAACTATTATTACAACGTTTTACTGCATTTCTGTGGATGCAATAAAGGAGTCTGTTGAAAAAAAACAGTGTCATCATGATATCTCTCCTGGACTTGAATGTAGAAAATAGGTTGGAGATTTCAGTGTGCTGCCTATTATTTTGTGGGAAGAAAAGGTATGAATAAGAAAGGAAGTCATGTTGCTTTATATATTTGAATTATGAAAACAAACACTATTCACTGTGATCTTTATAATTTATATACTTTATGCTTCCATATGCTAATGACTATACACAGAGCTATCAGTATATCACTGTACTGTAGGCAGTATAAGCAGCTGGTAAGCCAGTTGATATAATATTTTTTTATAGCAATAAAATTTTTAATGCTGTCTCTCATAGGATCCCTCTGGACAAAATGTCCAGCACACTCCTGGATAAACATGTCATACAAAGGATGAGCGACTGGCTCACGAGTTGGGTGCAAATGTTCTTAGTGAATGAGGTGACATCAGACTGGCGACCTGTCACTGAAGGGGATCTTCAGGGTTCCATTGTAGGGTCAGTTCTGTTCAGGGTCTGCATAGAAAACTTGGGCACAGGACTCTAAGGACTCTTAAGTTTGCCCATGATACTAAAATTGGAGAAACCATTGACTCCCTCAAAGTCAGAGAGGTCCTGCAGAGATACAGACAAATTGCCCAGGCTGGGCAATCACCAGCTGTATGAATTTTAAGGAGCACAAGTTCTGGATTCTCCACCTGGGATAGGAAAACCCTATGTATGTACAAACTGAGGAACAAGAGGCCGGAGAGCAGCACCATGGAGAGGGATCTGGTGGTCTGGGTTGATGGCAAGTTGGACACGAGCCAGCAGTCCCCCGGCAGCCAGGAGGACCATGCATGCATGCCCAGGGGGGCATCAGGCACAGCATCACCAGCCGGGCAAGGGAGGGGAATTTCCCTCTCTGCTCTGAGCTGGGGTGGCCTCACCTCAAGTGCTGGGGGCAGTTTTGGGCACCACAATATAAGAAGGATATAAAGCAACTGGAGAGTGTCCAAAGGAGGGCAGCAAAGATGGTGGAGAGTCTGGAGGTGAAGCTGTGTGAGGAGCAGCTGAGGCCACTTGGTCTGTTCAGCCTGGAGGAGACTGAGGGGAGAACTCATCATGGTCTACAGCTTCCTCACAAGCAAAAGGCAGAGGGGCAGGTACAGATCTCTTCTTTGTGGTGAGCAGTGACAGGACCCAAGGGAATGGCATGAAGCTGTGTTCCTTAAACCTCAGGAGAGGTTTAGGTTGGATATTAGGAAGAGGTTCCTCTCCTTGAGGATGGCTGGGCACTGGAGCAGGCTTCCCAGGGAAGTGGTCACAGCACCAGCCTTGCAGAGTTTAAGAAGCATTTAGACAATGGTCTCCAGCACATGTGTGACTCTTGGGGCGTCCTGTGCAGGGCCAGAAGTTGGATTTAGTGATCCTTGTGGGCTCCTTCCAACTCAGATTGTTTTGTTATTCTTTGAGATTCTAGAGTGGCATAGAGGAAGAAAGGGAGTTGTACCACAACAACAGGGAAACCATGAGCTTAAATTAGGAACAGTTTGGAAGCTACTGCTCCAATCCCAGAGCCTTTTTTTCACTCTTCGTCTGAACTATTAGAAGCTAAGGTATTCATGGTCAGGAACACTGGCAGGGAAAAGAAATCAGATCAACAGAATTTTCTGTATCCCTACTGCTAGTCATATTTCATTCCACCCAGATGAATCAATATTGTAGCTTGCACAGCTGAGATATCTAGTACAGAAATGAGATTAAAATAGCTGCAGTACAGAATGTTTTACTCATTTCAAAGTTTAAATTATTGTACAGAGTTAAATTACACAAATTTCTTAGCTCTTTCTTCATATAAAGAGTTGGGCGTTTTATAACTAGATGAAAAGAAAAAATAGATTACCTTTTTCTGAGGAATTTTTTTCCCCAAAAATACATTTTTAAATATGGAAAACATGTACAATTTTATTTACCATATTCTTATTTTAGTTAATTTTTCCAAATATAGCCAGTAATCTTTCCATGACTGAGCTGCCCACAACCAGTTTCAACAGTAGCATTCCAAATCCCTTTGCAGAACAATGGACAAGTTCACCTCCAATTATTCTAAGAGTTTGTACAGTTCATTTATCAATGACTTCTATTTATCATTGGGGTCTACTGCATTCTTTTTCTAGTTTATTTCACTCAATATTTCAAATTATACCAATATAACCATAATTTGATTAGTTACAAAACCAACTGGATC